GGTCAAGACCCAAAGATACTTGAACTCCTCCACTTGGGGCAGAACCTCCTCCCTGACCCAGAGAGGGCACTATACCCTTTTCCGGCTCAAGACCATGGCCTCGGATTTGGAGGACCTGATCTTAATCCCATCCGTGTCGCAGTCGGCTGCGAACCGCTCCAGCGAAAGTTGTAGATCACGATCTGATGAAGCCAATAGCACCACATCATCTGCAAAAAGCAGAGATGCAATCCTAAGGCCACCAAAACGGATCCCCTCAACACCTTGGCTGCGCCTAGAAATTCTGTCCATAAAAGTTATGAACAGAATCGGTGACAAAGGGCAACCTTGGCAGAGTCCAACTCTCACCAGGAACAAGCCCGACTTACTGCCGGCGATGCGGACCAGGCTCTGACACAGGTCACACAGGGACCTAACAGCCCGTATCAAAGGGCCCAGTACACCATACTCCCAGAGTACCCCCCACAGGGTTCCTCGAGGGACGCGGTCGAACGTCTTCTCCAAGTCCACAAAGCACACGTAGACTGGTTGGGCAAACTCCCACGCACCCTCCACGACCCTGCTGAGAGTGTAGAGCTGGTCCAGTGTTCCACGACCAGCACGAAAACTGCACTGCTCCTCAAGAATCTGAGGTTTGACTATCCGATGGACCCTCCTCTCCAGAACCCCCGAATAGACCTTACCAGGGAGGCTTAAGAGCGTGATCCCCCTGTAGTTGGAACACAGTCTACAGTCCCCCTTTTGAATAGAGGGACCACCACCCCTGTCTGCCAATTCAGGATGTCCACGCAATATTGCAGAGTCGCGTAAGCTAACACAACCCTACAACATCCAGAGCCTTAAGGAATTCTAGGCGAATCTCAACCACCCCTGAGGCCCTGCCACAGAGGAGCTTTTTAACCACCTCGGTGACCTCAGCACCAGAGATTGGAGGGCCTGACCCAGAGTCCCCAGGCTCCGCTTCCTCAGTGGAAGACGTGCCGGTGGGATTGAGGAGGTCTTCAAAGTACTCTGCCTACCGAACCACGACATCCCGAGTTGAGGTCAGCAGCACACCACCTCTACTATAAACAGTGTTGATAGTATACTGCTTTCCCCACCTGAGACGCCGGTTGGTGGACCAGAATCGCCTCGAAGCCGTGCGTAAGTCATTCTCCATGGCCTCTCCGAACTCCTCCCATGACAGAGTTTTTGCCTCAGCGACCACCAGAGCCGCATGTAGCTTGGACTGTCGGTACCCATCAGCTACTTCCAGGGTCCCACAGGCCAAAAAGGCCCAATAGGACTCCTTCTTCAGCCTGACAGCATCCCTCACCGCCAGTGTCCACCAACGGGTTCGAGGGTTGCCGCCGTGACAGGCACTGACAACTTGTGGCCGCAGCTCCAGTAAGCCGCATCGACAATAGAGGCACGGAACATGGCCCACTCGGACTCAATGTCCCCCACTTACCTCGGAACATGTTTGAAGTTCCCCCAGAGGTGGGAGTTAAAGCTCCGTCTCACAGGAGACTCTGCCAGATGTTCCCAGCAAACCCTCACAATACGTTTGGGCCTGCCAGGTCTGACTGGCATCCTCCCCCATGTGTCCAAGAGATGTGGTTGCAGATCAGATGAGATGACAACAAAGTCAATCATCGAACTGCGGCCTAAGGTGTCTTTGTGCCAAGAGCACATATGGACACCCTTATGCTTGAACATGGTGTTCGTTATGGACAACCCATGACAAGCACAGAAGTCCAACAACAGAACACCACTCAGGTTCAGATTGGGGGACTGTTCCTCCCAACCACACCCCTCCTGGTCTCACTGTCATTGCCCACATGAGCATTGAAGTCCCCCAGCAGAACAAGGGAGTCCCCAGGAGGTGCACTTTCCAGTACCCCCTCCAAGGACTCCAAAAAGGGTGGATAATCTGAACTGCTGTTTGGTGCATAAGCACAAACGACAGTCAAAACCCGTCTCCCCACACGTAGGCGGAGGGAGGCCACCCTCTCATTCACCGGGGTGAACCCCAACACACAGGCACCAAGATAAGGGGCAATAAGTATGCCCACTCCTGCTCGGCGCCTCTCACCAGGGGCAACTGCAGAGTGGAAGAGTGTCCAACCCCTCTCAAGGAAACTGGTTCCAGAGCCAGAGCCATGCGTAGAGGTGAGTCCGACTATTTCTAGCCGGAACCTCTCAACCTCACACACCAGCTCAGGCTCCTTCCCCACCAGTGAGGTGACATTCCATGTCCCAATAGCCAGCTTCTGTAGCCGAGGATCAGACCGCCAGGATCCCCGCCCTTGGCCACCACCCATCCCACACTGCACCCGACTCTTTTGGCCCCTCCCACAGGTGGTGAGCCCATAGGAAGGGGGACCCACATCTCCTCTTAGGGCTGTGCCTGGCCGAGCTCCATGGGTAAAAGCCCAGCCACCAGGCGCTCGCCCACGTGCCCCACCTCCAGGCCTGGCTCCAGAGTGTGGTCCCGGTGACCCACGTCAAAGCGAGGGAACATCAAGTCCATTTCTTTTTCTAATCATAGGGGTGTTTGGGCTGCACTTTGTCTGGTCCCTCACCTAGGACCTGTCTGCCTTGGGTGACCCTACTAGGGGTGTGAAGCCCCTGACAGCATAGCTCCTTGGATCATTGGGACACTCAAACCCCTCCACCACGGTAAGGTGGCAGCCCAGGGAGGGGCCTACTAGATCTCTACAAAGCTAATTAAACAAATCATTCTAAAGAGACAAATCAGTGCTTTATCACATTCATACACTGATGGGACACACATCGGCATGGGCAATGAGGGGTTCAGTGTCTTGCCCAGAGACACTTTGACATGTGACTGCTGGTGGATTCGAACCCCCAACTCTTGCACCGCTAGTATAGGGACTGAACAGCTCGTAACAACAGGCCCCTAATCCCATACTCACTGAGCACCCCCCACATTTACCCCAAGGAATCCAGTCAAATGCCTTCTTTGAGTCCACAAAACACATACCAGTAGTCTGGATGGGCAAACTCCCATGACCCCTTGAGGACCCTAGTGAGGGTAAAGAGCTGGTCCAGTGTTCCACAGCCAGGATGGAAGCTGCATTGTTCCTCCTGGATCTGACGTTTAACCAACGATCAGACTTTCTTCTCCAGTACCCTGCTCATTGTTTGTTCATTACTGAAAAAATACTAATGTTTCCAGAGGTTGTTCTTGTTAAACGGGGCCTTAACAGTAGGTAGATCACTTTGACTTGGTCATTTTAAAAGGAGCTCCATGATGAAAACATCTGGACACCCCCGATTTAGACCCATAAAATTTCACCACACTAAAACTGTTCAGAGAGCAGTCATACATCTTCACTATGAACGTAAAGACAGCACTGTGTGTGATTAAGTGAATAAATATGGCATAATGCTGCTCAGACTGTTGTTCTGATTGGACCATAGCAGGCCCAGTCAGCTCAGTCTCTATCAGAACACTTAAACTGAACAAAAAAGTTCTGGTAATCCATTGTGATTGACAATATTTCAACAAAATGTACATTTTTATTGAGAAGGTCAACAGTTCATTTAAACTTTTGGCTCCTAAAAAACTCCAAGTCAATAAAAAGCCATTTTTAAGGAATCCAACAATTTTCAGTCAGATCATCTGGACAGTTGATCTGACTGAAAATTGTTGGATTGTATACCTGGATTATTGAGCATGGACTTTTTTTTTTTTTAAGGAATATTTCTAAAAACTGCTGTTTAATTTCGGCTTTGGTTTCCTGAGATATCCCTTAGTTATGCTGCTATAGGCTTCAACTGCTGGAGGACAAACTGACCACATTTCTTCTCTCAAACCCAGCCGATCGAAGCAGATGGCCACTCGTCCTGAGTCTGGTTCTGCTGGAGGCTTCTTCCTGTTAAAAGGGAGTTTTTCCTTTCCACTGTCTCCTTTGTGCTTGCTCAGGATGGGAGACTGTGAAGAAGTGAAGATTCAACACAATCTGCTGCTTCCTCATAGAGAATTTTACTAATTGGCTTTTTTATGTATGTGAATGTTTCTGTACAGTGCCCTGAGACAACTTCTGTTGTGACTTGGAGTTATAGAAATAAACTGAATTGAATTAATTATCTTTCACAAACCAGCTTTGTTATTCATCCCAAGACTATCGGGTAATAACTGCTTGTGTAGGGTTGCGTCAGTTCTGTAGGAGGTCCTGGAGCTCGGCTCAGGATAAATCGATAAAATGAGTTCAGACCTCTTCTGAAGGGGTGGCATGAACTTCATATTTCCTATTAAATAACTTGTAAAGTTCTGGGCATTGAGGCTGTTCACACCTGTATTTAGCACTGATTGAATGTAATGCAATCATCCAACATTTTTCAGTCAGGTCATCCGGACAGTTTCTTTTTTTGTGCTGAAACGTTTCACCTTCGATCCGGAAGGCTTCATCAGTCAACGAAACACACAACAAAACTGATTCTTCCCCCAACAGCTTACTCCAAAGTGGAACAAACCAGTTTTGTTTGTGATAAGATGGTCTCTTTGGTACGCCCCTCCTCCACTGCCGGCCCTCTTCCTTGTTGACAGTCTTGTCAAACTGGTTGAAAACAACAAAATCCATGCGCAATAATCCAAAACTGGTTTGTTCCACGTTGGAGTAAGCTGTTGGGGGAAGAATCAGTTTTGTTGTGTGTTTCCTTGACTGATGAAGCTTTCTGGATCGAAGGCGAAACGTTTCAGCCCAAAAAAAGAAACTGTCCAGGTGACCTGACTGAAAAATGTTGGATTGTATACCTGGATTATTGAGCATGGATTTTGTTGTAATGCAATCATGTACAACAGACGTAGGTGCCACATGCGACTTAGATCTAAAGGTTTACAATTTGACGCAACAATGAACTAAAATCCTAAACTTTGGAAGGATTTTGCCTTTTATGCGTTGATCAATAAATGGTATAATTTCCAGAACATAATCATATGACTGTATAGGTCTTAAGTTTATATGTGACAAAAAAAAAGTTGGATTTACTACCTGGCAGGGATCAGCAGCAGCAATGGCCTGCATCACATTCAGAGCCAGCTGGCAAACACCCTCCTCACCCGTGATGAGAAGATGGGTCACGATGAGTGTGAGGGAGGGTGAGAGGCGCTGGCTGGACGTCAGGCTGGAGTTCACGGCCAGCAGCCATTCAGCAGCCGCTGATGGATCGTGGACCACGTTGCGAAGTATGGACAAAGCCACGCTGAGCTCACTGTACCAGGAGCTGAGAGGGAGCGCCAATACTGGGCCGGGCTGCAGAACCAAGAGAGACAAAACCTCAAACACAACTTCAAAGGATCAATCAAGTTCTATCTTAACTTATTTGTAAAAACGTTGGTATCAGGCCCGATACAGATACCAGTATCAGTATTGGGACACCACTAGAATATGTTCAGATTAGGAGATTTTCTAGGTCATATAAACCTTTTCTTGTTTCTTCAAAGGCTTTAGCTAAAGACTGATGTGTTTCCAATAGGTTGTGTTAAGACATAAAATTCTTCTTTATGAATTTATCTCAGTGTGTGGCTGTACTGTAGACATCAGTGCTGTTAGACAGAGAAAGAAGAGTGGCTACAGCGGTGCTTGAAAGTTTGCAAACTATTTTCTATATTTCTGCATAAAAATGACCTAAAACATCCTCAGATTTTCTCACAAGTCCTAAAAGTAGATAAAGAGAACCCAGTTAAACAAACGAGACATAAATGTTATACTTGGTCATTTATTTATTGAGAGAAATGATCCAATATTACATATTTGTGAGTGGTAAAAGTATATGAACCTCAAGGATTATCAGTTAATTTGACGGTGAAATTAGAGTCAGGTGTTTTCAGTCAATGGATCATGATCAGGTGTGAGTGGGCACCTTGTTTGATGAAAAGAACAAGATCTAGGGGTGCACCGATTGCAGTTTTCTGGCTGATCACCGATTTCTAAAAAGTCTGACCTGCCGATTCCGATTTTGGTCGATACCGATTTTGTTTCATAAGCGACACTGTCAGGTGTTATAAAGTCACAATGAACCATAAATTTTCCAATATTATTTTATTGAAAAACATGCCCTTGAACAATATCCTAGAAACAATACAAACTTCTTTAACTGGCCATGAGGTAGTGCTCTGAAATAAAAATGAACTTCAGACAATTGTTAAAACACAAATAATCTGTAAAATCGGTTTCTCATACAAGTATCGGCCATTTCCAATTTCCCAAAATTAAGGAAATCGGGGCCGATAAATCGGTCGGCCGATTTATAGATGCACCCCTAACAGGATCTATCAGAGTCTGCTCTTCGCAACATGTTTGTGGAAGTGAATCATGGAGGAACAAATGAGATTTCTGAGGAGCTCAGAAAAAGAGTTGTTGATGCTCATCAGGATGGAAAAGGTTACAAAACCATCTGTAAAGAGTTTGGACTCCACCAATCCACAGTCAGATTGTCAACAAATGGAGGAACATCAAGAACATTGTTACCTCCCCAGGAGTAGTGGACCAACAAAGATCACTCCAAGGCGTGGAATAGTCAGCGAAGTCCCAAAGGACCCCAGGGTAACTTCTCTCTCACACTGACTGATGTTGATGTTCATGAGTCCACCATCAGGAGAACTCTGAACAACAATGGTTCATGGCAGGGTTGAAGGAGAAAGACACTGCTCTCGAAAAAGAACATGGCTGCTCGTCTGTAGTTTGATAAAGATCACATGGACAAACCAGAAGACTGTTGGAAGAATGTTTTGTGGACAGATAATAATAATAATAATAATAATAATAATAATAATAATAATAATAATAATAATACATTTTATTTGTAGGCGCCTTTCTTGGCACTCAAGGTCACCTTACATTGTCAATCATAAAAAAAGACACAATATTATACACACAGTAAAAACAAGTAAAATAGAATTAAAATTAAGACAATGCAGTTGCAATCACAGAGTGTAGGCTTCTTTAAACAGATGAGTTTTGAGTTTGACTTTGAAATGTGGCAGTGAGTCTGTATTACGAATATCAGGTGGGAGTGAGTTCCACAGCTGGGCCCATAGTAACAAGACGGGCAAGGGGAACAATGAGCTGAATAGAAGAAGAGGATCTGAGGGTACAAGCGGGTGATGAGATGAGATGAGACCAAAAGAAAAGATTCTGGTTTACATGTTTGGAGAAAGTAAAACTCTGCATTCCTAAATAAGAACCTTATCCCATCTGTGAAACATGGTGGCGGTAGGATCATGGTTTGGGTCTGTTTTGCTGCATCTGGGCCAGGACGGCTTGACATCATTGATGGAACAATGAATTCTGAACTATTTCAGAGAATTCTAAATTAAAATGTCAGAACATCTGTCCATGAACTGGATCTGAAGAGAAGGTGGGTCATGCAGCAACATAACGACCCTCAGCACACAAGTGGTTCTACCAAAGAATGGGTCAAAAATAATAAAGTCCATGTTGTGGAATGGCCAAGTCAAAGTCCTGACCTTAATCCAATCCAGATGTGGAAGGACCTGAAGCAGCAGTTACTGTGAGGAAACCACCAACATCCAGAGTCGAAGCTGTTCTGTACAGAGGGATGGTCTAAAATTCCTCCAAGGTGTTCAGGACTGATCAACAATACCAGAAATTTTTTTCATTCAACCTTTATTTAAACAGATAAATCACATTGAGCCTAAAAGACTTATTTACAAGTGAGACCTGTTTAGACAGACAAAAACTGTGGTTAACTGGACACATGTAGGAGTTGGAGGTGAAAAAAAAATCCTATCAGACTTTTTTTTCTTGCCTGAGGAAAAAAAAACCTCTAATATTAAATAAAACACCTCACACAAACAGTACATAGTGACGTAGACATTCTGCAAACAAAGACGAGAGCGGTCAGCAATGTTTATAGATGCTCTTGAGGTCACTGTAAGAGTTCTGATAAGATAATCAGTCAATGTCCTTTGGTGAGATCCATAAACATTCTCGAGGTATGTCAATGGCCAAGAATATCGTCTATGAGAATCCAAGAGTCCTGAAATGATGACACAAAGTTTATTTAGCTGGTTTCATCTGGTTATCAGTTGGAAATTCCTCAGGGAGGGGGTGGCGAGCGTCAGATCACATGTTCTCCAGGCGAATTCAGATAAGATGACCTTCAAGGCCAGCCAAGGGAGCCAAATTCAGATAAACACACAGTTGTTTTGGGGACAAGAAGAACTTAATGACATCTATCTTGAGTCTGTGTTCGTTGACTCGGTTCCGAAATGTCCAAAATACATGGCCACACTGAAGGAACGTGACTGAGTAAAATCCCCAAGATCTGATCCATTCAGCCCAAAGCATTTGAGTCCGGGTACTCGAGACACGAACCAAGCCATCATAAAGGCAAGCAGCGTGATCGGGTCCAAATTTGCTGCCAATGACTTCCTTGATTGTAGATAAAACCAGCAACCAGCCGAATCCAAAAAGCAGGAACCAGTTATCGTAAATCCAATTAAATATGCGTCCTTAAAATCCACAGATGGCAGCAGAGACAGACACATCATCAAGTCTTCCAAGTCGATGAGATATCCAGCTGCATGCGTGCCAACAGGACAAATCAGCTCGCCTAAAGCCTGTCTTCTCTTCGAAGAAATTTTGTAAATTGAGTTGAGGGACCAACTGATCAAAAAGTCCATAATTAGGGTTCGGAAGAAATGCAAGAGAGGCTCAGAAGCAGTTTCACAGACAGACAGAACAGCAAAGTTAAGCGGAGAGGGAGGGGAGAAGCATGCGATCTTGGCGAGAGCAAGTGGTGAAATGTTTAGTTGTAGTTATTCATGCACAGGGGTTCCACACCAGATACTGAAAGTAAAGGTTCACATACTTTTACCTTTCACAAATATGTAATATCGGATCGTTTTCCTCAATAAATAAATGAACAAGTATAATATTTTTGCCTCTTTTGTTTTACTTGGTCCTCTTTATCTACTTTTAGGACTTGTGTGAAAATCTGATGATGTTTTAGGTCAAATTTACGTAGAAATATAGAAAATTATAGAGTTCACAAACTTTCAACCACCACTGTATGTGCAATAGAAAGGCAGAGGGTTCACCTGTCGAGGCTTATCTGTAGGTTTGCCGATGCTCTGCAACAGGCTGTGGGCGAGGTTACTGTTCAGGGTGTTTGTCTTTGGGTCGGCCAGTGGCTCGGTGAGGCCCGAACAGGTGAGCAGCTGGAGCACAGGAAGGAGCAGGACCGGACTCAACCAGGAGGACAGCTCGTCCTGCTCAGGGACTAAACTCAAAGCTGAACCAGAGACAATGTGAGGAAAGAGGTTGTGTGTGTGTGTGTGTGGGGGGGGGGGGGGGGGGGAAGACAACAACAGAATTTTAGGGTTTAGGGCGTGACATCAAACATAAATGACTTTTAAATTTAAAGTTTTACCTACAGAGGACAAAACCAACTAAATCACCTGGTCCTCACCAGGAAGCAAACATGAAACGTATCGTTAAAAAAAACCAATCAGCAACAATCAACAAGCTTTAGCCGAGAAATAACAAAATAAACAAGAATGGAGTATACTAACTACTTCCTTACTTCCCTTTGTTCTCTTCCTCCCTCCCTCCTGTCCTTCCTTCCTTCTCGCTCGCCCTCTCATTTCTACTATAGTCCAGTACGTGTCCCTGCTGGTCACCTGGTCTAACAGCCTGACTCTGTGATGATCTGGACTTCATGTTGCCACATAGGTGTAGGTGTCATCGTACCTAGACTAAGTAAGTTGCTCTGCTGAGCAGCGGGGGCCTCGAGCAGGAGCAGGGCCACACCCATCATCAGCTCATCAGCTGGCAGGTCCTACAAAACACAAGCAGCATTTACAGCTTCAGTACGTTTGTCTTTAGAGAGCCTGAGTCCATCATAAAGACTTCTCGTCTCCAGCCTGGGATGAACGTCAGTGACCTGTTGGCAGGCGGGCAGGAGCTGCTGCATCAAGTCGAGGAGCGGTCGACAGTCTCCGTTTAACTTCAGGCACCGCTGGCATGCACAGAGCAGCTGCAGCAGCAGTCCCACTCGCTCACGGGTCCAGGACTCTCCCGAAACCCTGAGGAGGCCTTGAAGCAGAGCGTCCACAAACCCACACAGTTCCAGGACTGCCTCCACATCGTCCAGCTGCAGGAACAGAGACACATCTGCATCAACATCACCGTGAACAAAGGTAAAGAAGATGAAACACAAACCTTTTAGAAAAAGTGCTTGAACACCTGAATATTGTGAGGACCAGGCTTTGGTCTCCACCAGCAGCAGCTGGTCTTCACAATGTAGTATGTGTTGAAAAATGGGCCTCACAAATAACATAAACACACAAACACACACACCAAGATACAATGTTTAAATTTTTAATAATTATCATCATTATACTAATCAATTAGTTAAAAGTAATAGAAAATAATGTATTTAATTTAGATTTAAACATGGTCAAACTGGTGAGGGAGTGGTGGTGCAGAGGCTAGAGAAGGTGGGCCTGTGGTTGCGTCAGGAAGGACATCCAGCATAAAATAACTGCCAAGTCTTCGTGCGAGTTGTTCGCTGTGGTGACCCCTGAAGAAGGGAGCAGCCGAAAGAAAAATAAATAAATAAATGTTCAGACAAGTCTGAGCTCCTTTGCTCCACGAGTGAGCGGCGTAAAAACTAACAGCAGCTTCACAACGTTTGGTTCTGGTTTGTGGAACAACTAAATGTCCTGTCTGCTGATGTGAGAGGTGTGGGTGGTTCATAATGTCTCAGCACCGTGGAGCTAAACTGTTCAGGGATTTATAGACAAGAAGGAATACTTTCTAACTTATTCTATAAGAAACTGGTTCCCAGTGGAGTGAAGGAAGAACTGGAGTTATAGGCTGAGAGGTTTTGGTCTTTGTTAAGACTCTGGCAGCAGCATTCTGGACCAGCTGGAGTGGTGGAGTTGTAGTTTTTGACAAATCTTGAGGTAATTTATCAGAGTAATCTAGTCGACTGGAAATGAAAGCATGAACAAGGATTAAAAGATAGGGCTTTGAAACAAAACAAAAAGGCAGAAAGAGAACCAAATAATAAATACATAAATTAGCAAGAAACTGAAAAAAATAAATAAAAAAATCACGTAAAAGCTGAAATTAGTTGAAAAGTAGCCAAAAAGTAGACATTAGCAAAAACAGGTGAAATGTACCTACTGAAACCAAAAGAAAGAAGCTGAAATGAGAAGTAAAAGGTTGAAAACAGCTAAAGGGGTTGAAGGACGTGAAGCGAGCTCCATCCATTTTCCATAAGGAAAACATGTCAGAAAAAGCTAAACATTTCAAAAAGCACAAATGGCACGAATACCAAAAGTCTCAGCAGGAATGTCCTGAATGAGCCGAACATTTTGATACATGAAATGTACAAATGAACAAAAACTGCTGAACAAGCGACGTGCTGAAAAATGTACGGAAGAAAAACGGACCACAATGGTAAGAATGATTTAGAAACATTCACACAATTATTTTATTTATATATTTTTTGTTTCCTTTGTTCTGCTCTGAAGAGCAAAATAATTAATCTTCTTTCAGCAGTTCAGGCTAACAGTGTTTCTAAATGGATACAAGTTTACATAGAAATCAGTAATCTGCATTAATTTGCTTCTAACTAATTATTACGAGTGGTGATGGTGTAGACATAAATGGATGTCATTGCGTCACCTGCAGGTGTGGCACCAGCTGACAAAGGGAGAGCAGCAGGTTGCCAGAGACTGCTGAGGCCGACGGTAATCCAGCTCCAGACTTTGAGAGGACCAACACCCTGAGCAGACTCTGTCGAAGAAGTGCATGCTGGGGCTGCCTCTGAGGTTCACAGTACAGGTACCGGAGGAAGGGAGCCAGCATGGTGATGTAAGATGTTTTATTTCTGTAATATGTAACACACAAAAGAACAATAAGAAATCGTCAAAGCTTCGGCGTTGAGCTACATGTGAAACTAACGCTTCAGACGAGATCTGTCTCAATAAACAGTAAATCAATTAATCGCATGATAAATGAAAATAATCAACCTCATTTTCATTTATCAGCTTTATCATTTCTTCGTGTCTCTCTCTTTCTACTGAAGACACTGGATGACAAAGCTCAACTCCGGTGCTCTTCACTGACCCCTCCCTTTCTCTTTACTCTTTAAAATCTGTTTTAACCGTCCAAAATCACATTTTTGGATCGTTAAAAGCAGCTAAGCTGAGAAGCTAAGCTATGAGCTAAGCTAACAGGTCGACTTCGGGGAAAAAACCTCTGTCTTGTCAAAGCTCAAAAATTCACGGTTGAAACCAGTGTCTTTGTGTAAAAAGATGTTTTTCTCTGCAAAAAGAAGCTGAGAACTTGTTTATTGATTAACAAAGTCCATGCTCAATAATCCAGGTATACAATCCAACAATTTTCAGTCAGGTCATCTGGACAGTTTCTTTTTTTGTGCCGAAACATTTCATCTTCCATCCAGAAAGCTTCATCAGTTAAGGAAACACACAACACAAAACTGATTCTTCCCCCAACAGCTTATTCCAAAGTGGAACAAACCAGTTATGTTTGTGCTAAGATGGTCTCTTTGGCACGCCCCCTCCTCCGGTGCCGGTCCTCTTCCTCGTCAAAACCAACAAAGTCCATGCTCTATAATCCAGGTATACAATCCAACAATTTTCAGTCTGGTTGTTTACTGATGTTTTATTAAAAGCTTTGTGTGACAAATGCTACGCTAAAGAGCTCAACCACACCGAGCGTCCGCCATTTTGAGAAACGAAAAAAGAAACGAGAGAAAGCCCACGTCACGTCCAGGGGCCTCCCTCCCATTTTTCTTAAAGAGACACGCTGCTCACTCCCTCACTATCCATCCTTCGGTTCAAACAGTCTTATACTGCCATCCAGTGGTCGAAAAAAAGGTACTACACACAAACTAACCAACAATTCTTCTTAAATTTGAAAAATAATTACTAATTATTGTCAAATTTCAAATAATATTATTGTTTATCGCAATAATTTCTGAGACAATCGCCCAGCAAATTTATTGTGACAGGCCTATTTCAGACTAATTTTACAATAATTAAAACTATGCCCTCGGCACCTTGCGGTCATCGAGTCAACCATGAACTCCTCTGTAGACTGAAGGATCAAATGTGAAGCCACCTGTCCAACAGCAAAATGAAAGAAGGCATATATTGACTGCACTAGACTAACTCACACAGTAAGTAACTGTGTGATGTGTTGGACTTGGATGTTCGACTTCATGTCTTTTCAACGGATGCTGGAAAGCTTTGAGTGATTAGCTGGTCGGTTCAAGACCTCTACTGGGGCTGTGCTTACCTGTCAACAGCCTGTCGGGTAAAGTCATCAATCTCCAGCAGCAAAGCTGGCCAGCAGTCCGCTCGGTTCTCCAGGGATGTGATGAATGGGTGAGGACTGCTCCTGCACAGCAATACGGGGAGGAAAAAGTCATACGTTTATTAAATTGCCTCTTATGATCCCTGATTTCAGCATTATGAAGTTAGTGTGGGATTATATGAAGTTTTAAAACTCTTCTGTGCTTAGCTATGCAGGTACAGCCAGTGTTGATAGCTACAGTGGAAACAAGATGTTTACATACACAGTATACAAAAACACATGACAATTTCTGTCTGACATTTAATCAGAATAAACTGTTCCTGTTTACAATAACAGGATTCACAACATTTTTGTTTGCTAAATCTCAAAAGCATAAAAGTGTTTTTTATACATTAAGACTACAATGGCTTTGTGAAAGTCCAGATGATGATGTCATAACTTTGATTGGTTATTTTGAGTAAGTTGGAGGGTGTATTTTAAGGCACACCTCTGCTTCTTACACTGCTTCTTTAAGTGGCATCAGTGAGCAGAAAAAAACCAACAGCTAAGATAACAGGAAGGGAATGTCAACCTCCACAACTCTGGCTCATCCTTGGTGGTGGGTATGGTGCCATTTTGATCAGTTTAAACAATTGAATAAGAGACATTCCCTGTGTTCTGACTAAATTAAAACTGTTCAGCTGTAATGGCCATCCATTATCTTGTACCCGCTTCTTCCATTTTGGGTCACGGGGGTTACTGGTGTTCATATCCAGCAATCACTGTGCGAGGGGCGGGGTACACCCTGGACAAGTCTCCAGTCCGTCACAGGGACACATAGAGACAAAACCATTCACTCTCTCACTCACACCTAGGGACAATTTAGAGTTACCAATCAGCCTAACATGCCTGTTTTTGGTCTGTGGGAGGAAACCAGAGTACCCGGAGAAAACCCATGCATGCACGGAGAGAACATGCAAACTCCAGCAAGAAAGGCCCCTGGACCAGGATTTGAACCAAGGACCTGCTTGCTGAGAGGCAGCAGCTCTACCAGTTACGCCACCGTGCTGGCTGTAATGGCCGTTGTTACATTTAAAGGAGGAATGGGGAAGCTTGAACCATCTCATCTATGAAGGGTGGGGGTGTTGGCATCATGTTGTGGGGTGTTTTACTACAGGAGGGACTGGTGCATCATGAGGAGAGATTGTGATGCAGAAATATTGAAGCAGCATCTCACAACATCAGCCAGGAGGTTAAAGTTTTGACACAAACGGGCCTTCAAATGGACAGACCCTCGGTGTATGGCTAAATTTGTTACAAACAGGTTTAAAGATGGCAGCATGGTGGATCAGTTGGTAGAGCTGCCGCCTCTCAGCGAGAAGGTTGCCAGTTCAAATCCTGGTCCGGGGCCTTTCTGGGTGGAGTTTGCATGTTCTCTCCGTGCATGCGTGGATTTTCTCCGGGTACTCCGGTTTTCTCCAACAGACCAAAAATATGAGTTAGACTGATTGGTAACTCTAAATTGTCCCTAGATGAGAGTGAGAGAGTGAATGGTTGTTTGTCTCGCTTGTCTTTATGTGTCCCTGTGATGGACTGGAGACCTGTCCAGGGTGTCCCCTGCCTCTCACACAGTGATGGTTGGATATGGACACCAGTGACTAAAGCTGTCATTTCTAACCCAGGCCCGAAGCCCGTCTCAGGCTTTGATACGGTTTTCCAAATCATACAGCACAAAGAAAATCAAATAAGAATGCACAAAATAAAATCATGTTAATCTACTTGGCAAAGAGGAGGCAGGTCCGACCAGCCGGTTGAAAGAGGTAAAAAAAAAAAAAAGTTGCGTTAAGCTCAGCTGGATGAGCTGATCACCGGCTGCACTCGTCCGCTGACCCGCCAGATGAAAGAGGTAAAAAAATGTCCAATTAAGCTCAGCTGGATCAGCTGGATCAGCTGATCACCGGCCGCACGCCTCTCCTCACCTGCTGTCATCTGCAGTGAAGGAAGTAGCAGCATCTACAAAAGCCGAAGCGAGCAGTGTGTTCAATTAAAATAGCCTTGTTCTATATTTTTCCAAATGATTTTGCTCTAAAAATATTTTTGTTCATCTGTATAATAGCCCATCTTTAGAGTGGATTTTTAGGCTATTTGTTTTGTATGTTAATATCCATTGGGTGACTTGTTAATAAAAATATCTTATATCTTCCTTTCCTTGAAATACATTTTTAAAATATAATGTCAAACTGATTTGCTTAAAAAAAGAAGTAAAAGCAAAATAAAAAAAAAAAAAAGGTTGGGGGGGGGGGGGGTCGCGTTCGGGCCTGTAATTACAGTTAATTGGTCGGGACAGATCGGGTTGGGTTTGGAAAAAATGGCTATGGCTTATGGGGGAGTGGTGGCGCAGAGGTTAGAGAAGGTGGGCCTGTGATCGGAAGATCGCCGGTTCAAGCCCCGGTACCGACAACATCAAAAATGTGGGTGGGGTAGGTGAAGCACCCACACCTGCCCCCACCCTCATTCACCCCACTCTGGGCCCATGAGCAAGGCCCTTGACCCCCATCTGCTCCCTAAACAGGTCTCTCTTGAAAATGAGTTCTCATGGCTCAAAGAGACTACCTGGATAAATAAAGGTAAATGAAAAAACAAACACTAAAATCACAGATGGAAACTTGATTTTGAAGAAAGGAATTAAACATTCTCTAAAAAATATAATAATAATAATCACTTTTTCATAATATGGGCATTTAACAAATATAAATAATTTAGAGAATCCTCACCGACATAAAACAGGAAAGGTTTAGGCTGATTTAATGTGAGCTCCTTAGAAATGTGCATTTTCCCAAAAACTCAGAAAATAAGATAAGACAGAACTTAATAGATCCCACAGGAAATTGTTGATATGGTAAGGTTCAGGTGTCCCAGCTTTTCAGCAGCCTTGAACGCAGCATTACTTCTGTGTATCCAGAGCAGTAAGAAAGTCTGAAGTCAGATTCACAGGAAAACTGATCTGTGCACAGCAGGACTTGGTTTTACTTATTATTACTTATATAATCAATACTGTGTTTTTCTACTTGTTGTTCTAATTTGTTTGCAGTGATAAAATACAATTAGCTGTCAGTACCACCATAATGAGTTTTTCTCCTTGACCTTGTTACCCTGTGAGATGCAGACTGCTCTTATTACTCTTAGATCACCCCATTCATTAGGTGCAGACAATACCCTGAGGTCAAAACCAAGTTGAAGCCACTGTGTACTTTTAACCTTCCAGTCCACAAAAAGGCAGGGGTTAAGACAACACTGTTGTTGGTGGTGGTGTATGTGTGCATGTGTGTTTGAGGTCAGTGCCATCAGGCCCACCTACCCAGTCGTTCAATCAATTAATCTGAATCCAAGTGTAGGAAAGAAGCTCACTGACAGAGCATGTTTGTGCCTGGAACAGTCCATAGAGTGGCCCAGACATATAGACAACCCTCTCCTCCTCCTCTTGCTCTTTCCATTCAGTCTTCAAATGGTAATCTGTCTGACCATCTCTGTCCCGTCTTCTCAGGTGCCCTGTGGCCATCTCCAAACCCTTAGCTTTACAGCTCCCATCCATCAGGCTTTAGTGGTGTTCTCTACCTTTCAGGCGCCACACAAAGGAAGAAGTCAAGACAGGAATCTTCCTCCCTTCTGTTCGACTGCAAGTTCACCATTAAATCAGTGCTCCAGCAGACAGATGGACTAGGTAAGATCACCCACCCCTTTCCTATAGGTATTTACAGGCTTCACTAACCTTCACAGAGCAATATGGCTTCAACTATAAAACTGTTAACTGCACAGTACGAAACAAAAAAAGGTAATAAAAAATAGCAACAGTTTACTGTATTCCATTATTATACGTTAAAAGCAGGAGTAACTCTTTAAAAAGTGTTCTTCTGGCATAAACACAGTTAGGATTGTTATTTTATTACAAAGCTAAAAGGCTAAAGTACTGAAGTAATACATGTAAAACATCAGGCAATTCTCAGTTGACAAGAACTGTTATTGGACTCCAACACTTTTAACAATGATTGATATCAACCCCATCAGGCTTCAAAATCCAGGATTAAATTTGCTGATTTCAACAGGTACATTCCATGGTAGTTGCTGTATGACAACCTTTACTTCAGAAACTTGATATTAATTCAGGAACTCTGGCCAATTAAATACATATCTAATCTTAAATTTATCAACAAAAAAAAAAAATCTTAACAAAATAGTTGCAAATTAATTGTGTGAACATCTGAACCAAAATTATCTGTTTGAAGAGTTTCAGTCAGGATTTAAAGCTCACTGAATCTGCATTGGTGAAAGTTACTAATGATATTCTCATGGCCTCTGACAATAGACTTGTGTCTATACTGGTCTTGTTAAACCTCAGTGCTGCATTTGATAAAGAGATCACAATGTTCTACTACAGAGACTTGAATGTGATATTGGGATTACAGAAACAGCTTTAAACGGTTTAAGTCATATCTATCTGATAGATTCCAGTTTGTAAATATAAATAATAAATCTTCTTCATACACCAAAATTAGTCAAGGAGTTCCTCAGGGTTCAGTGCTTGAAACAATACTATTTACTTTATATATGCTTCCATTAGGTAAAGTTATTAAACAGCACAGAATACATTTTAATTGTTATGCTGATGATACACAGTTATATTTGTCCATGAAACCCAATGAATCCAATCAGCTACTTAGACTACAAGCATGTCTTAAACACATAATAACCTGGATGACCCTTAATTTTCTGCTTTTAAACTCAGACAAGATAGAGGTTGTAGTTTTTGGACCCGAGCATCTTAGGAATACATATTTCAGTCTTTCACTTTCTCTGGATAGCATTAATCTGGCCTCCAGTTCTAATGCAAAAACCTTGATGTTATTTTTGATCAGGACATGTCTTTTAACCACCCACCTTAAAAACATTACTAGAACTGTCTTCTTCCACCTGCGTAAAATCACTAAAATTAGAAACATCTTATCTAAAATATGATGCAGAAAAACTGGTTCATGCATTTGTCACATCTAGGCTAGACTATTGCAATGGTTTACTATCTGGGTGTCCACAAACTTGATTAAAAAGACTTCAGCTTATCCAAAATGCTGCTGCCTGAGTTTTAATGAGAGTTGGTAAGAGAGATCATATTTCTCCAATTTTAGCTTCTCTCCACTGACTCCCTGTCAGATTTTAAAATCTTGCAAAGCTCTCAACAACCAAGCTCTTATTATTCCACACTTTCCTAACAAAGAAATTCACTCTCAGACAGCAGGTTTACATGTGGTTCCTAGAGGTCTAAAAGCAGAATGTGAAGCTGAGCTTTTAGTTTTCATGCTCCTCGCTTGTGGAACCAACTGTCCATGAAGATGACACTCTATAGGACCTAGTTGAAGAGTTTCTTTTTTTTGACCAATTCTATCGTTAGGGTTGACTTGGGTTTCCTCAGCTTAGTTATGCTGCTATAGGCTTAGACTGCTGGAAGACAAATTGACCACATTTCCTCACTCTGCTGCTGTCTTTACTTGCTCTACTCTTTATGTTTGTAATTTTTCCTATTAACACCTTTTTCTTTATCTTTCTTCTCACAGAATCTCCACCTAGACCAACCATTCTGTGTTTGTGTCTCTTTCCTGTCCTCTCTCTCACCCAGCCATTTGAGGAAGATGGCCGCTTATCCTGAGCCTGGTTCTGCTGGAGGTTTCTTCCTGTGCTTCTCAGGATGGGAGATTGTGACAAAAATAAGATTCAAAGCAACCTGTTGTCTTTTTTTGATAAGTAACTTTTATTAATTAGCATTTCATATTGTTTGTACAGTAGATTATTTTTGTTGGGAATTGGTGCTGTAAAAAATTACATGAATTCAATTAATGCAGCTTATTTTAACTAAGCAATTTAAATACAAATCAAATTACAAAAAATAACAAATAATAAAAAAAACAAAAAAACACCTGCAAGATGAGCCACTAAGGTATTGCCATTCATAGAGAAGGTTCATTTCAATCTAAGTGGACAGATCATCATTTGACTGAGCAGACAAGCCACAAAGAATATACGTGGCTAAGAGGGACAGAGAACAGACTACAGCCAAGATAACTTGCCATGAAAAATGAGATGAAGTGGGGAACACAGCCCTAAACCTCCCCTTATCCTGCTGGGGGCTAAAGTGCTCTAAGTCTTAGTGGCAGATTGCACAGGGCTGCTAGAAGCAGACGATCAACAATAGGCACCAGTGTGCATCCTTCATTAATCCTACAGCATTTACAGTTGCCCAGCAGTGCCAGGCCCAACAACCAATGAGTGACCAGACTACCAGGCCAATGGCGCCACCCTGCTGCCCTCAACACATTCATCTTCCCACCAGGGAGGTTAAGGCTGCCAGACAGACAAATGCTCAAGACAGAGATCAAGATTGAGGGAGAGAGAGAGGGGGACAATGGGAACGAGAGACTAGGAGAAAGTAGGAATGGAGATGTGGCGACAAGGAGCTTTGAAGATCAGTAAGAGAAAGAGAGACGTATAAAAAAAGACAAAGAAGCTCTTTTTTCACGTGCTGCAGCTTATTAAGGAGGCCCAGGATGTTGGCAGAGGTGCTGAGCTAAGGCTAACAAAGGAGAAGGAGGAGTAGGAGGAGGTGGAAGCTCCTGTATGACAGTTTACCCAGAGAACACTGAACAAAATAAACTGACGTGTCAAATGATACCCTATCACCATTGTACATATACGAAGTCAGCTTAAAGAAGCGAGATACCGATGTCCTGTCGCTGAGGGACTCGAACCCTCAGGTTGAAGGTTTGAAGTTTTATTATTCCGTCCGTCCGTCCATCCATCCATCCATCTTTCCATCTCTTTCTCTGTGTGTTCCTATGAAGGCTTGTGAGCCACTGATGTCCATCTCCAGTGCTTAGGCAAGATGCTTGGTGCCCCATGAACATGCCTTCAGGCAACCCAAGCCCACAGAAAGACCAACAACCATTCACACTAACACCAAGGGACAGCTCCATCCATCCATCCATCTATCCATCCATCCATCCATCCATCCATCCATTCATTATCCATCATCCATCCATCCATCTATTCATCCATCCATTATCTTTACCTGCTTCTTCCTTTTTGGGTCACTGGTGCCCAACAGTCACCGTGAGAGGCGGGGTATACCCAAGACAGGTCTCCAGTCCATCACATAGACAAAGAGACAAAAGAGACAAACAACCATTCACTCTCTCATTCACACCTAGAGACAATTTAGATTTACCAATCGGTCTAACATGCATGTTTTCGGTCTGTTAGAGGGAACCAGAGCACCCAGAGAAGATCCACGCATGAACAGGGAGAATGTGCCATCTCCACGCAGAAAGACCTCAGGCCCAGAGTCAAACCCAGAACTAACCAGCTCTCAGTCATTTCTCTATGAGCAATTCCACTCCTAACACTGACAAATCCAAATCTCCAAAAACAGAAATGTTGAGTTTGCACTCTGCAATTACAAAAGTCTAATAAAGATAAATGCAAACAAGAGTACTACATACTGCACATAATACGCCCGTCAACAAACTATTACACAGCAAACTACAGCAATGGTCAACTATGACCTTGAAGTGTGACTTTGACCTTGGAGCTGAGATGATAAAAGATTATGGGAGCTGTCTGGTGGTGGTAAAAATGTGTATCAAGTTTCATTAAATTGTCTTGAGTGGATCAGAAGTTGTGGTCCATACAAGCAAAGACCTTGAGCATGCATCAGGATAAGCAAAGACCTTGTTTCAGCTTTGACCTTGATGATAGGCGTATTATAATCTAACTGAAAATGTGGGTCTTGTTTGTTTGTAATCCTATAAAGAACAAAAGGCATCAAACCACACCACATTAGTGGTTTTTGTTTTATTCAGCTGCTGAAAACCACTGTATAATGCCACTGTGGCTCTGTCTGAACTGTAACAGTGAACAGCTGATAAAAACACACAGACGGACTGACCTGATGGAGTAAGGACAGGTGAAACGACTTTCCTCATTTCTCTGATCAGCCTGCATCTGCAGTAGTCGTCCGATGACTTTTATTAGGCCCTGAACATTTCTGTTCACAGTGCAAAAACAGAACACAGATTAGGTCATACTCAGAATAACTTTGGATTATTCAACGTAAACCTTGGTTCTTTGATAACAGGGTGAGGTGTTTCACTACAGGAATGGTCGGAGTATTCTTAATTCATACTGAGACGATTCCCAGAAGAAGAGGCAGAACAAGCCTTTGGCTTTGGACTATTCTTTTTAGTCATAAAGGGTTTAATTATTTATTTGTTTGCTTGATTGATATTTTAACATGACCAAATAAACCCTTCATTCATTCAATTCTAAGTAAAGTTTCACTGAAGCCATGTTTGTAGCTCCACACATCTCAAACTGTCACAGTCAACCAAGACAAATAAGATCAGAACTTCTGATGCATTTCTTCTAAGAAAGTCAAAATATTAAAAAGTGAGATGTGAACCTGGCAGAAGGCAGGAGATTGAGGACAGTGTTGAGGATGTAGTGCAGATCTGCGTGGCCCTGATCCGCTAACAGCACCACAGCGTCGCAGCAGGCCGAACGTACGGGTGCGCAGTCGCTGCAGCACTGCTGCCACAGAACCTCCAACGCCGGACCCTGACATGCAGCACATCCAGGTGAGAAAAATCAAACACAAACATCACAGTCAAACAGTTTCTGTTAGTACTGTCCTGACAACAGACATGTTTCACATGAGTAAAAGATCTAATGTACACTAACAAATCTTATAGTCACAACAGCATAAAAAAGAGCACCGCATACGGCACATTATACCCCCGTTAACAAACTATTATATGGAAATCTATAACAATGGCCCAATTATCTCTAAGTAATACTGGCTTGACAAAAAAAATCTATTGAATGGTTAGAAGGGGACAATATGAACCAATAAATGTTGCTCATGACATTTCATTCAGTGATAGTACTCTGATGTATCAAGTTCAGTAAAATAAATTGAAATGTACAGAACTTATGGTCTGAAAAGCAAAGACAATCTGACCCAGACCTTGGAGTGGGAAAGGAGTTCAAGATTCAAGGTTCTTTATTGTCATTCACATCACATGTGGTACATGAGGTGGAATGAATTGTGTACTCAAGGTCCCAGTTAGTACATCCAAAAATAGCAAAAGTATAAGTATAAAAAACAGTATTAAAGGATCTAAGATATACACTAAACATTAAAAACAAAAAAGGTTGAATCATGTCATCTGGACTTCGTTTTTTTGTTAAACAAAAAAACGAAGTCCAGATGACATGATTCAACCTTTTTTGTTGTTATATACCTGGATGACTGAGAAAACAAACTTTGTGTACACTAAACATTAATAATATAAAATAATATTGTATATTAAACAGCAGCCTGACCATGAGTCTGTAGTGAGCAGATGGGTATGAATACAGCAGCTTAAACATAAGAGATCAGCAGCATGGATAATCAGCAGCACAGATGTCACATATCACCAATTAAAGTGGCAATACATTGATTTCTCTTTCCTTTTTTTTTCTTATAGTGATTATCCTGGTTAGGAATTTATGAGTCTAACAGCTTCAGGGTAGAAGCTGTTCCTCAGTCTAGTGGTTCTACATTTAATGCTTCGCAACCTCCAGCCTGAGGGGAGTGGGGCAAAACGTGTGATAATTGCAAATGCAAACTCCATCAAGACTCTATCAAGACTCCATCTAGTGGAGATGCATACATGCATGAAGTTTTGTTAAATTACCTTGGATAAGAAGATGTGGCCAGGAAGATCGAAGTCCTGGTTTGACATTTGACCTTGCTTTGTGACCATGACCTTATCGGGAGGGGGCAGTGAACGCAACCCTTGTCTAATGATGGTACATACATTATATTGCCAAAAGTTTACTAAGTTTACTTCCCCCTAAGACACAATGGTACATGCTCTATTCAACCGCTGCTCAGCTGCCTGGCTGACATCAGGAACTGGATGGCTTTAAATTTCTTAAGTTTCAATGAAAAGAAGTCTGAAGTCATGTTGTTCCCTCCCAACAACACGATCACAAACCACTGCATCAACCTCTCTGCTCTAATCCTGTCAGAAAAACAAAGAGTCACTAATCTGGGCGTGATAATGGACCCTTCCCTGAAACTTAACAATCACGTAAACATGATTGTTAAATCATGCTTCTTCCAACTGAGGCGGCTGTCTAAACTGAAGCCCATATTGTCCAAAAATAACCTGGAGACAGTAATACATGCATTTGTTACATCTAGGCTTGATTACTGCAATTCGCTTCTGTTTGGTATCAGTCAGACCTCTATAGCACGATTACAACTGGTCCAAAATGCAGCAGCACAATTTTTAACCAGTACAGGCAAAAGAGAGCACATTACACCAGTTTTGGCCTCACTGCACGGATTACCGGTTCACTTTCGAATCCAGTTCAAAATACTCATGTATGTCTACAAATCATTGAACAGTTTTGCCTCCCCCATCTCTTTGATCTGTTACAACTGTATGTCCCACTGCGTTCCCTGAGGTCAGCGGACCAGTTGCTCCTCACAGTTCCAGGAACTCGTCTTAAGCGCAGAGGTGACAGGACCTTCTCTGTAGCAGGACCAAGACTCTGGAACGAGTTACCTCTGCTTGTCAGACAGGCCCCCTCCCTCTCGGTTTTCAAGTCCCGTTTAAAAACCCACTACTATTCGGTGGCTTTTAACACCAGATGATCTGTGTTTTTGAACCTGTATGCTCCACACTGGTTTGTCGTCATTATCTGCATCGTTTTTATGTCTATATTTCTGATTTACTTCATTTTGTATATTGTTTTGTGTGTTACCAGTTGTTTTGTCTGTACAGCACTTTGGTTGGCCTTGACGCCGTTTTAAGTGCTCTATAAATAAAGTGGTATGGTATGGTATGGTATAGTTCGGTAAAAGTATTTACTTGACTCCCTTTTCACTCATATGAATTTGAGTGACATCCCGTTCTTACTCCATACAGTTTAACGTGGTGTTGATCCACCCTTTGCAGCTAGAACAGCTTCAACTCTTCTGGAAAGGCTGCCCACGAGGTTTAGAAGTGTGTTTATGGGAATTTTGGACTATTCTTCCAGAAGCACATTTGTAAGGTCAGACAATGATGTTGGACGAGAAGGCCTTGTCACGAATCACGTTCCATAGATTATATTTTCTGTCACCCTGATCACCCTTTAAAGTTTGCAATAGATCTTTTCTGTAAGTTTCATTTATTCTGTCCACTCAGGTAATGTTTGTTTATATATATGTGAGTTTTAGTTGGTCTTCTTTGCATGCTGGTTGAGGGTGATGTCACGGCTGTTTAGTTTGTCTTCAGTGCAGCCAGCAGCAGCTGATTGAACTCAACTGGCTGCACCTGTCGCTCTCACCCTTTAAAAGCTGCACTCTTTCTCTTCTTCGGTGCCCGGTAGTTGAAAACAGTTCACTGTAAGTAGATACGTCGCGTTACTCATCCTGCCTTGTTCCCCCTTAGCCTTTCATGTCCCCTTGTCATAGTTTACCTGTCTCCTCGTTCCTGTCCCTCTCCTGGTTCCTGTCCTTCCCTCTTGGCTTGACCTCCCGGCTCCTGAACCCACGACTTACCTGGACATCGTCTTTTGTTCGACCCATTGGATTACCACGTCTTCTGTCTTCGGTTCTGACCTTTGCCTGCACGACTACGCCTCCTCGTCTTCTCCTCCGGTACCTCCTGTCATCTGCTCTCCGGTTTTGGACCCAGGCTTGTGTGAGCACGTCTCTGCGCTCAACGGACTCACCACCCACCTGTCGCTGCGGCCAGCTGTAGCCCCTCACCGGACTCAGCCTCTCCTGCAGCGGTCCGGATCAGTTTGGACTTCGTTACTCTCCAGAACCCCCAGGATCATCGAAGACGGTTAGTGGTCCTTCTTATTTGACTTTTCTGCTCCCCATAATCTCTTGCACGACCACTAACCGATCTCTATCTCATAGACTTGTCCCTGATCCAGAACCAGTACCAGAACCCGAACCTAAACCATAACCAGCACCAGAACCGGTCCAATCTGCAATATCTCTCCTAGAAAATAAATACTATTTAATTTTCTTCATTTGTGTGGTGATTTTGGTCCAAACTAAAAGGGGTTTGTTACAGGCCTGGCTTACAGTCTCCTCTAATTCTTCCCAAAGGTGTTCTGCTGGGTCGATGTCAAGACTTTGTGCAGGCCAGTCAAGTTCTTCCACACTAAACTCGCTCATCCATGTATTTATGGATCTTGCTTTGTGCACTCATGCACAGTCAAGTTGGAACAGGAAGGAGCCATCCCCAAACTGTTTCCACAAAGTTTGGAGCATGACATTGTCCAAAATGTCTTAAAATGCTGAAACATCAAAAGTTGTTTTCACTGTACTTCATGGAGCTTTGCTACTGTTTCAAGTTTTAGCGGTTCTGCACCACACCGCACCAGTTAAGGGCCTGTCTACTCCCAGTACCCCCACTCAGCTCAGTTTATTGGACCACCTTGTTTGAGGTCCCAAGTGGACTGCTCTGAGGGGTTGATTTTGACGTAAGCAGACAGCAGCTGTTGATTTGCCAGAGGAGCTATGTTACTGGATGATCTGCCCAGCAAAACTGTAAAATATGTCTGAACATCCACTTCCTCATCGTGTTGACAGACGGCACCACAAGAAATGAGTGCATTTATTGAGAGATATCAAAAGATGATGGTGCAGCATTGCTACACCCGGACTTATAAGCAGAGCAGGGATAAGCTAAAGAAATTCAAGTCTGATTATAGGGCGATTAAGGACCATAATGGGCAGAGTGGCTTGAACAAAAAAAGACCAGTTATGATCTTGTCCACTTTACACTGACGATCCCCACAGAGTGGGAAGCAGGTCAACCTCCACTCTAATGGCAAATCACCTACACCTGAGAAGGACTGAGAAGAGGAGAGCAGAGTGGAGCAGCACTTACCAATGGCAAAGTGACATAAGTGGCCAAGCCCAAGTCCTGAAAAACAACCCCACACCATAATCCCCGCTCCTCTAAACTTTAACTGTGACACATTGCAGTCAGACAAGAACCTTCCTTCTGGCCACCGCCAAACCCAGACTCAGCCATCGGATCACTAGACAGAGAAACATGGTTCGTTGCTCCAGAAAACCCATCTCCACTGCTCTAGGGTACATTGGCAGTGTGTGTTACACCACTGCATTCGATGCTTTGCATTGCACTTGGTGATTTAAGGCTTGGGTGCCATGGAAGCCTGTTTTATGAAGCTCTTTACACACTGCTCTTGAACAGGTCTCATGGAGTTTGGAGGTGTGTAGCTACTGACCCTGCAGAATGTTGGTGACCTCTGTGCAGCTCAGCATCCGTTAAGCCCGCTCTGTGAGCACCTGAGAGCGACCTTTTATCTCATAATTGTTTGTAGAAGCAGTTTGCATGCCTATGTGCTTCCTTTTATACACCTGTGACAGTATATGTGATTGGAACACCTCAATTAAATGATTTGGATGGGTGAGTGAATACCTATGGCAATATAGTATAAGTGTATATAGTGACACTGTGGGCCACGACATCTTACATCATAAGCTTTCTGAAATTGGTTTCTCAGATCACACTACTGGCTGGTTCTATAAT